TGTGCCTGTGCAATTATTAAAATTACCTATATATAATAAATACAATTTATTTTGCTCTTTAGCTTTATTTTTTTTAATTAAAAATGTGTGTTAAATTAAATTAAATTTTTTTGACACTGATAATTCTTCTTTTTTCCGCCATTTGAATATTACAGTTTTTATTATTTGTACAAATAATTTATTTAAAACATTACTAACATCATTAATTAATAAATCTTTATATCGATAGAGCTTTTCACACAGAAATCACTCTTGTTTTTTACCCCATTTTGTTTGTACCCGTGAAAAAATGCATAATTATATTTTGTATGATATTGATAAATTAATTGAAAATTGGTTACATGAAATGATTAACATTAACCTCTATAAAAAACATAAATTAAAAGTACAATTTTTAAAACAATAACTTTACAAATAAAGTTACGAATTACTGTAGTATTTTCCAAATGTTATCCCTTTCTTACACGGAGAAACTTTTAATACCACTAATTCTTAAAACTGGTGAGACATTTTAGTATGTTAGGTTAGATTCAAGGGAAAAACGACATAGGTTATAGAAATTGCTATTGAGACTATCAAAAACACTCATTCAGTATATATTTTACAGTTCTTCATAAGGAAACTAACGAAAATTAGTATGTTGTTTTAGAAAGAAAATAATAATTTTTGCAAAGTTGGGAAAGCCATGAATTAAAAAGAAACACAACAAATTAATTGTCTATAGATACTCATAGAGACGATAGTGATACTTGGATCTGATGGTAGATGGCATTAGTGAATGTCACTGTAACTGTAGGTAAATATATTTAACACGACGTAAGAACCTAACCTATATTAATAACGCACACACGCACACGCAAGTAAAGACACGACGATTGGTCACGGAAACCGAAAGATCGCACGATTCGTTAGAAGTACACAGCTGAATCGTCCTTATATATTAAACGAGTGGAAAAATATGTGCCTTCGAGAGAGAGCATTTTTTAAAATAACTTACTAATCAAATTATGTAAATAAGTAAAAGTCGTGAAAAAAATTATGTTATATTGAGGAACAGTTCTTGAATTTAATTTGGCATGAGGAGACATTCACGTTTATTAATAAAAGGTTTTTTTCTTTCATACACGTGTGAATTTCAACTTCGAAAACATTAGGGTTAGTTCGCGACGTCAGGTGATGGACTCGGTGATGCTCGGGCGAAATCGGTTAAGTCCGCCCGCAGTCCTTCCAAAATTGGTATGTTACGTTAGAATGTCTGTTATATATTCTATCTATATGTGGAAAAAAGGTTAGAATTACCGTATTATTTCACAAACAAAAACTAGCATTTTATTCTTTTCTAAAGAAAAATAAGACTATTTCTAATGCAGATAGTAATTTTTGTAAACCGAAGGTTGCTTAATATATAACGAACTTATCATATTTTCGTATTAATGTTGAAATTATTAGCACAACGCACGAAAAATCCTCACATTCTAACGTACTTTTAGAATAAACATAACCAAATATATTTAATATTATAAGAAAAAGTTTCTCCGTGTAGTTTATTGCCTCTTGACAACTTACTCACCTTCATAGTATTTTTAAAAGAGGCGTATCTTTGTATAAGAAATTTTCTAATTTCTTTCCTAATTTCTTTTCTAATTCTTTCTAATTTCTAATTTTCTAATTTTATTTTCTAATAAGAACTACTGAAATAAATTAGCATAAAATAAAATTAAAATCTAAGCATGTGAATTTTGAGGTTAATGGAAACACCGTCAGCAAAGATGGATATGTTGAATTGAAAGAGGTTTTAAACTAATTTTTAAATGGTGCATTCACAATTTTGTAGGGAAAAAATGTCGAAATTTTGTTCACATATCTAGATGTAAGCCTGTTTCCACAATAACTAGTAAATCCATTTGGTTTTAAGTAAATTTATATTCTGCATATAAGTTTATTTTAGTTAAGTGAATTGAAATTAAATTATCGTAAATTACCTGCAGAATATGTAGTTACTGTATATCAAAAAAAGCAAATATATTTGAAAAATATTGTAGAAACCCCTTTACAACTACAGGTGTAAAGGCAATGTCAACATTTTTCTAATGGGCCTGTTCGGGATTGATCAAGAAATATGATTGGCTAATCTAACAGAATGTTTGGAAAAGTTTGTGCTGATTGGTCTTTATTTGCTGGTTCAACATTATCATTTATATATACTCAACGGTGGCATATTATTGTGTATAACCTCAAATTCTTGCTTAAATTTTGCATTTTAATACTTTATAATAATTTTCTTGTCAACGATTAAAATATTATGTCGACTTATACAGAAAATGACATAAATAAGATTTTTTTAAATATTATACAGACTCAAGAGTGGACTTATGATCCAAAAAAAAAAATTGATAATGAAAAGAAAAAATTCGAAGAATGGGAAAATATTAAAACAATTTTAAAATGCTACGATATAGACATTGCTGGTAAGTTATTGCTATATTGATTCTAATTTAAATGCCATTGCTATAACAAGATTATAATTACAATCATATCTTTAAAAAGTAATATTATCAAAAAATATAATAAAAATGTAAATTTTTCAAAACCCTTTACATGTCTGTAACCAACTGACAAAAAATTAATCAATAACATGCAAAAAATAAGTAATTTTCTTTGTTATAGATCCCAAGGAAAAGTGGAGAAAAATGCGAGAGGCTTTTGTGCGAAAACACAAACGTGGTAAAGAACATCAATTGAATTACTGCAGTGATATTCAGTTTTTAGTGCCGTTTATTAATCATAAAAAGTATGTTTTTTAGAAGTTTAATATTTGTTTTTTTTGTTTACTTTAAATTATGTCCAATTAAAAAATAAAATAATTAATTCCAGTGATTCCCGAAGTATGATGTCCGTGAATGATTCTGGTGAATGTTCTGAACTGTTAGCACCATCTGATTTAAGTGTTAGTCAGAACAATGAGGTTATGTTAAGGAATACAGAGGCTAATCAAATAATGGAAATAGAAGAGGATGTTATGATGGATGAAAATTTTTCTCAAATAAATAATAATAGTTTTAAAAACAGTTGCTCAGGTGGAAATGGAATCGATTTACAAACCATGCATTCAGTTGAATCTGATCATTTTTCAATTGTCTCGGATTCTACTAACTTGTCGTCGACTGTTTTTCCAATCAAAACATTCCAAATTTTAGGACAAACATCAAAAACACCTCCATCACCATCAGGAAACCACTCAGGCCTATCAACATGTTTACAACATGTGTCTAAAAATTTTTCCTCGGGAAATGCGCCTACAATTTCTACATTACACAATTCATTAGATGTTTCCAATTTTTCGTCAAATGAGATTTCAACATTGACCTCCCCTTCTGAAACTTCTTCATCGCCAACATCTGTTTCAAAATTATCGCAGACATCATCTTTCTTGAGTACAGAATCATCATTTTATATTCCAAATGCACATTTAAAACCTGTGCCTGTATCTATGTTTACAATCACAAAAGTTCTGGATGATAATAGAAAATCAAAAACTTCAGCAGGAATATCAAGATCGTCATCAATTGCCTCTATTGGACAAGTTCCAAAAAATGGAAAAAATGTAAGACCCGGCAAATTCAAATCAACAATTATACCACCATTGGATGATTTCGCAATTAGAAAAAAGAAAAAGCAAGATGATTCTTCCAATGTAGCTTCAGAAGCTATGTCGGAAATTTCAAAAAATATGACAGAAGTATCCACAAAGTTGAGTGATTATATCTCATTAAAGTCAAAATTGTTAAATTCTCAAATGCAATCCGACAGTCAAGATGATTTATTTAATATTATTAAAAGAGAATTTAGTAGTCTCGCTTTAAGTGACCAGAGGATAATATTAAAAACAATCCGTGACGAAATTGATTTTTTTTAGAAAGTTAAAGGAAAAAAAACTTCAAAAAGTATTTTAACCGACTTTATTGCACTTTTAAATTCTTATTCTTTATTTAAAAAAATATTTGTAAGTGTTCTCACTTTAATAATCAGCATTTTATTGTTATTTATAACGTAGAGTGTTTTCAGGACCTTAATTTTTGTCAAATAAAATTGTTTATATTGTGGCCTTGGGTCCAAAAGATTTGAGAAAGTTGTTAAAAATCAGCAATTATTACTTTATTTCATCGAATGCATTTTCACTGTGAACACAGCTCATCAGGACTACAGAAAAAATATAAAAAAGTTGAGTAAATAGAAAATATGAAATCAATAGCAACATTGTGTGTGGAATAGACCTACCACATTGTTCAATGATACAAATTTATAAAACTTTTAAAAAATTTAAATTCGAAAAGTTTTTAAAGGCCAACATAACCTCAAAGTCGAGACCTGTCAAAAAATGGAATAAAATTTGTTCGGATTTTATAAACTTATTTGTTTAAATTGTTTTTAATTGTTTTTAATTGTTTCGGATTGTTATTTATAAACATTTCAAATGTTATATTAATAATTTCTAAACATTTTGAAATTAAACTACTATCTTACAGTATTTTATAAAATAATGTTAGTTAACATGAGCTTGTATCAATAAATTCGTATAAAAGATAAAAGAAAGTGTCTATTTTTACACAATCCTAAACTAATAAAACAAATAATTCTTTTTAAATATTAATATTTGTTTAACAAATTTTTTTTGAAACGCACAAAAAAATAAAACTAAATAATAATAAAAAAGTCATACGTAAAAATCTGTTATTTTTGTTAGTAGGATTAACTTACCTTCTTCGTGTAATAATTCAAATATAAAAACTGATTTTTCCCATTGAATAGTAATACCAAACACTTTTTACAAATTAATTCTTTAGTAAGTAAAAAAATTGTAATGCAATAGTGTTAAAGCTTAAAGAATATTTATTTCTTAATAAATCTTAAAACTTTAGTAGCTTTACATATATTTGAAATTTTTATCTTAGAGTATAAAATTTAAGAAACTATTTGTTTCAGTATTTATAAATGTCCTTAATTTCTTTTACAGTAAACAAAAATTATTAAATGAGTAATTTTTTGATTAAAGGAATAATTTGAATGAAAGCAGGATAAGAACATTGAAAGCAACTGTGAAAAAAGTTACCCCGAAAATTTATTTTTTTTTCTTTTCGTAAATGATGTTCATTATATTCTCAAAGCATCTTCTCCTCTTGAGCTTGGGAACTTGGTCCCATAAGTCTTTGATCATGGCTAAATAATCTTTCGTTCTTGTTTCAGCAATCAAAGTTTCATTTTCTTTCTCCCGAACTGTGTCACCATCAACTGAAACATATATTTTTCAATAATGTTATACTCTTGAACTACGTCGATTATAATAATATTTAAATGTGTGTAAATTATGTAAGTAACAATACTTGGTCCTGAATTGTGATAATCAGCAGCATTTGGAAATTTGTGGTTTTTATCTTGATTCAATAAGACATTGCTTCTGTTTTTTAAATCTGTATCATCATAATCACCATTATCGTCTTCTATTGCATCATAATCATTACCATCGTCGTCGTCATCAGAAGTATCAGTGTCAACAGCATCATTATCATTATTTTTGGTTCTCACTAGCTTACAGGAACTGTCTGTTCTGTTACATATGAACATTAGTCATAAAGAAGAATCATTGCATAAAATGGTAATTACTTATTTTTTTATTTTTATTGTTCAGACCTATCTTAATAGAATTTACTTAATTTACTTTACTTATTTTTAAACATATTCAGACGAAAAAGGATTACATCATTTTCACAAAGAGATTATTTTATTCATTTTAGAAAATATATACCCTACGATGGAAATTGCGCATTCGCTATTTTCCAATAACTATCAAATAACTTTTAGCTTAAAAAAATAGATACAACTGATAATATTCTGAACAAATGACTCCTTAAAGAAATTAGGTTTTTCTTTTTAGATATTATATTTTTAAAGTTAGAATTTATTTAAGTCTTTAAACAATTTACGGTTTCACAGTTAACACTCGTAGTGTATACTTTGAAAATATATACGTAATTAAGCTAAAAAAATTAAGCTACTTTTTTAAATTATACTTTGTTAAGAAACTGTTTGTGTTTAGGAAAAATATTTGTGAATAAATAGTTTTAAATTTAAATAATCGTTGGCAGGTTGTCTACTGGTCCTGTAATTAGAAAAAATGTCTTCGAATGTCCCGGATTTTCTACATTTGTCCTTAAATTTTCCATAGTTTACCTTAAAATTTATATTAATAATCGTTGTGTTACTATCTTAATAATTCTCTTTTTCAATATTTTTAATTTTCAAATGAATGTATTTAAAATCATCGAATTCATGCAAAAGTTTGAAAAGTTTTAAATTCCTTTAAAGAATTTTATTATTTATGAAAATAATTAAATTCTCAAGAAGAATTATTTAAAAAAATTTGAAAATCCTAATTAAATATTTTTGAAGTATTATATCCAATTTTTTTTTAATAATTGAGTTTCTTTAATAATCTTAAATGGAAATTTTGAATGTATACACGGAAAAAATAAGTTCAGCAGATTTTACGAAACTAATTTCGCACTAGCGGATATTTAAGATTCCTAGACGAAGTTTTTCAAAAACCCAGAAACTTTCACTACTTTAAGCAGAACAATTGTCGAGAAACTGCAACCAGTGTTGTAATTTATAAAACAAGCTTGAATGTAGAAATGTTTCGTATTTTCTGGTGAACATTTTATCAGAAAATGGTAAAAATATTTCGTGCAATCTAAAAACGCGTGGTTTGAGTTTCCACTTCGCTGTCTATCGTGAATTCTCGAACACAAAGTTTCGTAAAATTCTATACGGGGTGTACCAAAAGTCGCGTTATAAATAGATATGTTGAAGCTTGTCTCGTCGCGTCGGTATTAACTTGTCTGCTGTATATAGATATAATGTGGAAGGAAAAAGAGAACTGCTTTACCTGCCGGTAACATTTGGATAATTGTTTTCTTTTACGTATTTCACATTTCATTGTTCCAAATTCGTAACATTTTTTATGTGCTTTTGTAATCCAAACTTTTAATTATTATTAATTTCTTTTAATTTACAGTCCAATAAATTTTATAGTTTATCATAATATTTACCGATGACAATATATATATTAATTTCTCAAGTTTTAACTGTTATTACTTCAAATTTTAGACAATTTAATATAAACATTTTTTGAGTTTGAATTTAATTTTGAAAATTTTTTGTCAATTTATTTATAATTTAAAATTAAGAATAAAATTATTTTCTAAAAATTGAAAAATTTTATAGAGATTTTATAACTAATTATAATCAAAAAATGTTATTTTAAAAACCATAAAATATTTTGTATAACTTTTAAAAAAATGATTTTTTTAAAAATTAATATTCAGTATATTGACATTTCTCACAAGCGCAGTTTTAATCTCCTCAGTTAGTATATAAAGAAACTCAATTCTTTCATCTACAAGTGCGAGTTATATTGTATGTGCGTTGCGTCAGAATTCGTTTATATGTATGCGTATTTCCGTTAAGTTAGTGTCAGAATAAAATAAGTCAATCCCAGGAAGGAAGAGTAAGGAGACCAAACTCTGCTTCTACAAATGTCTGAGAAATATGCACGAAAAGTGCCAGACTCACTGTGTTCTAGTTGATCACCAATTAAGTCGATCATGCGCACTGAACTAAAGTTCAGTGTTGACATAGATGAAAAGTGTGGTTATGTCAAGGTAAATATTATATAGTTTAAAAAGTGTTAATTTTAAAAGCAAATTTATTTATTTGCAATTGTGATATTATTTAGATTTTCAAAATAATAAAATTTAATAATATATTTATAAAAAGGGAAAAATTTTGCGAAAATGGTTAAGAAGAATTGTGTTTATAACTAGAGTATATTTACATACCGTAGAAGGATAGAAGAGACTAATGTTTTTAGACTCTTTTTCTTTCTTTACATCCTGGCAGACAACACGACATTTTTTAAATAAAATAAATAAATAATTATTAAAACGAAATGTATTGTATAATTATGTATGTATCTCACTAAGACCGGCTAAATGTAAACATTAGATCTTACATCTCACTCGCACAATTTTTACGAGAAACAGAGACACAACACAGCTTATGCGCATGATCAACTTAATTGGAGGTCGACTAGAACGCAGTGAGCCTGGCACTTTTCGTGCATATTTCTCTGAGATTTTTAAAGCGCTTTCTACACAGAGTTCGGTCTCCTTACTCTTCCTTCCTGGTCAATCCAAGCGAACCATTGCGTTGTAGAGGGCAGTCACATGTGTCGAACCAATCATCTATCTCCTATAGAAGACGAGAAAAAATGGTCTTGAGAGCTCATTGGTACATTAAGAAATTCTTTTTTCTGCTTTATTCGTTTTTTTCTCCGTGAATATTTTTTTCCGTGGCGCATGCGCTTCAGGCTAAACATTTTACAAAACTCTTGAATTAGAACGTCCAACCGATCATTTGTGAATTCCATAGAATTTTTTTTGAGTTTTCGAGAAACGCAGTCATCATATATTACTATTGATTCTGTTTTATCTTATACTAAACTCCTCTCCGTATCCGCTATTCCAAAATTAGTTTCGTAAAATGTACTAAATTAATTTTTTCCGTGTAATAAAAATTAATGGATAAGATTATGAAAACGATTTTATTGTTTATAAAAGTAATTTAATTTTGGCGATTAATTTTACTATAACATCTAAATATAATTGAACTGTTTCGAAGGATTTATTAAAAATTAAAAAAAAATTAAATTCTTTCATGAAATTCTATTAAAATATTATTGAAAAGTATTGCAAATTTTTGCAAAACATTTTATTACTTATACATAAAAATTTAAATTATTTCGAAGAATTTAATTATTTATGAAAATGATTAAATTTTACTATTTATAAATATGATTCAATTGTTCCGAAGGATTTATGGAAATTTTATCAAATAATGGAATTTTTTCAAAATATATTATTTTAAAAATTAAAAAAAATTAATTGTTTCATAAAATTTTAGAAAATAATTGAAGTTTTGCAAAGATTTTACTATTTAAAAAAATTAAATTTTTGCGAAAAATGTTATTATTTATAAAAATAATTGAATTCTTACAAAGAATGTTATTATTTATGGAAATAATTGAATTCTAGCGCGAATAATTTTAATAAACATTTGAAATAAATAAAGAAGAATAATTAATTAGTAAATTACTTAATAATTAAATTTTTTGAAAGTTTGAATCTGAAATTATTGGAAAATTTATATTTGAAAATAAAAAGGTTGCTGTCCTGGAAAAAAAAATCTGTCCTGGAATGTCCTGAAAATGTCCTGGAATTTTAAATCATAATTTTCAGTAGACACCTTGGTTGAAAAAAAAATGTTTAGAATTTTTATGTATAATTTAATGTATTGAGAAAAAATCTGACGCACATTTAGAACAAAAGTTACTTCAATATCATTAATTTGCATTTAAAAAAAGGAAAACTATATTGTAAATTCGTTTTAGTGAGAGATTAAAGGATTCAATTCTTGATATTTTAAACTATTAAAAAATTTGTTGTAAAATATTAAAAATTAAGTTTTCATACTTCTACCATAAAGGGCTTAAAATGAAATTTATCTTCTTTCTTAATTGACATTGTGACCTTGCATTAACCTCTCTTTCGATCGTTTGATATATTATTTCTAATAAAAGTATATAACATTAAAGAGAACAATTTTAAAATCATTCACAATCTTACAGTGTTTAATAGCAAAATCTTTTAATTACCGTCAACCGGGGCTATTTTGTGCACCAAATAGCTTTTTTTTGATTCAAAGATTTATTTAAATTCAGAATTAAGAGAATAAAGAAAATCAACTTTTGATATATGTTGTGGACATCCTTCTGAAGGTTTCCTATAAATTTTGCAAAGAAAAAAATTTTTTTGTCTTAGTTATAGTCATTGAAATTCGTGAACACAATAACTCCCGGGATGGGGCTATTTTGTGCATCGAACTTTGTTTTTCTATAATGTTGCGTAAACAATTTTTTTAATCGTTTCTGCTTCATGAAATCTTTTGTGTATATATTTGAGAGTAAATTAAAAAAAGAATGACCTAGTAAAATTTTTTTTGTAGATATATTATACAAAAAATGTAAAATAAAGCACTAAAATTTTGCTAAAATCTGGATTTACTAAAAATTAACAATCTTTCTTTAAATTGTATATTACGCAGATATTAAATAAAATTTTTTTCTTTTTTAATATATATTTTATAATAATATACTAATATAATTATAAAATGATCGTTTAAACACTTATAAATAACTTTAAAACATCATTTCAATAGGAGCTTTTTTAATGGTTTTGAATGATATTTTTAAAAAACTTGAAATAAATATTTTTAAGGTTAAATAGATAACATATTAATATCTAATATGACTTTCAAGTTATTTTAAGAGAAACGAGAAAATAGTTTTAAAACTAATTTTAAAAACTTATAAATATTAATTAAAGTTCATTTTTTGAGGTTACGTTGTGCACCGGTAGAGCTTTTAATCGTTTTAATGATTTTAATTAACGTATTTACAGTTTTTTGACAGAAAAGTAAGACAAAAATGTATTAAAATGATAAACAGAATCTTCTTTACTTACTAAATAAAATATTTATGAAAAATATTTGATTTTTTTAAGTGCACAAAATAGCCCCATGGAATCCTGGTTTTTCAGTTTTTTCCACTTTTCTCTTAAAATAATGAATAAAAAGTTAGCGCATTACGTAAGTATCATCACAACACAATTGAAAACAAATATCTAACACAGTTTATGAGACACATTAAAACTCTAGAAGATCTGGTATAATTTTTCCGAACTTTCAAAATTATTTAAACAAATTTTCCGTTTTTAGGAATTTTTTTCTCTTAATTGCCAAAGAATTAAATAATAACATTTAGTGCTCTCTATTTTCATGTAATCCAACTTTCATTTAACAAAATAGCAGATTAAAATAATTCATTTTAATAATTTTTTTCATTAAAAAACTCGCGTGCACAAAATAGCTCCCGGATGCACAAAATAGCCCCAGTTGACGGTATTTAAGTAAAACTTTTCAAAAAAGCACAAATATATTATAACCTCAGTTTTCAGCTTTGAAAATATAACTTTTTGTAACATTTTTCATTTCATGCTAATAACAATAAGGAATTTACTACAAATAAAATATTTTACAATACTTACTCTCGGTGAGCGATATAAGGTTTAAGAAAATCCATACCATTGAAATACTCAAAATTATTAATTTTATTGCTGGCAGCTGATCCCGATGGCATGTAACTTGTAATATTTCTGCGAGCCTGTGTATACTTGTCTTTCAAATATTTCCATTTACCTTTCGCTTGCTTGCCTGTAAAATAAAAGAAGCATGTAGACTTTAGTGTAAAGAAATAATAATATTTTTTATTCATATTATATTAAGAAAAAAAAGGAAAAAAATCAACTATACATATTTTTTCAAAGTTCAAGAGATGTTGCATAACATTTCTTTTCTCATGTTATTTTTGCAGGTCGTTACTTTCATTATTACTTGTAGTATTATTTTAATCATAATTGTTATTATTGTTTTTTTATTATTAAAAAGAATTCCATAGAAAACAAATATGTTGAAGTTAATCCCTGCCAATTTTAAAAAATCGAAGACCAAATTTAGTTCACACGTAAAATTAAAATATTTTTCGCCTAAAATGAAAATCATCTGTCGAGGGTTTTTAAAATGAACTCGATTTTTCTCGTTTTTTGTAGGTTAATTGCTGTTTTTCATTAAAAATTGAATATTAAATTCTTTTTTATTTCCCTTCTTAAAGGTCTCGTGAACAATTTCCTATAGATGAAGACTTATTTTTGTTATTAATTGTGGTTAAATTAAAAAAAATTCTCAAAAAATCATGTTTCTTTGAGATTTTTGGGTTATTTCTTAAAATTACTTTAATTATTCAACACTTGTAGTAAGTTTAATAATTTTTTTTATTTTGAAGATAGGAATACGTAATTTAAACACATTACAATAGTAAGCCAGTTTCTACATGTATTTTAATAAATAACCCAAAAATAGCAAAGAAACAAGATTTTTTGATAATTTATTTTAATTTAACCACAATTAATAACAAAAATAAATCTTTATCTATAAGAAATTGTTGATTCTAAATCTTCGAATAGTTTGAATTCGAACCTTTTTAGTTCGAATTCGAACTTTTCGCACATCTCTACCATAAATATATATATATTGAGATTTTAACCAATTCAATCACTTTCTAGAATATTTTACATGTTCGTTTAAATGTTTAGGCTCTATTCTTATCTAAATATTAAAAATTCCAATTTTCCTGTAAGAAATTTAAATATTTTGAAAAATACGAAAGATATTGAAATTTTCTGAATTATATATCAGGATTTAAACTCAATTAATAATGTTTTAGAATATTTTACATATCCGTTTAAAATTTTATGCTCTACGTTTGTCTGAATGTCAAAAAGAGTTATACGATTTTATTTATAAACATTCGATCATTTGAAATATATTCGCGGTTTTTATTTACCGGTGATTCTCTACCGCGAATGTTGATAATTAAATTTATGTTTTTTTAAATAAAGTTATGAAAATGTTTTATACTTTCTGCAGGTTCCGTGAGCGACATTTCAGCTTGGCAAAACACTGATTTATATACAGCCCTAGAGAACAACGAAATTGATTTGCCACCAAATTTTCCTTTGCCTGGGACAAACATTGAAATGCCTTACTGCTTCATCGGAGATGAAATATTTCCACAAAAAAGATATTTGGTGAAGCCGTATGCAAGAAGTCGAGGATTAGTTGAAAGACAAAGGAACTTAAACTATAGGTATACTCAGAAAATAATTATGTTAACAGGATTGCCATAAACCTGGAAGACATAAAACACTTTACATTTTCATGAAATTTTTCTCCTATTATGAAAAACTTCGAAAACCTGGAAATGTTAGGCATATTTATGATATCTTTTTCAAAAATTTAACTTCTTCTATTTCAATCGCGAAAATATAATGTTTAACAGTTAAAATATAAATTATAGGATTTAAATTTATTAATGATGGTTAAAACAAATATAAAGTTTCTAAATCTTAGTATCTGTTCAAACATATTCGTTTCCATAATTGTAAATTTTCAATTTAATGCTTATGAATATATTTTATAAATCCAACTATTTTATTCAAACTCTTTACAAATTTTTTTGCTTGATTATGAGAAATTCGTTAACTTGAATAAATGTATAGAGGAATTAAACATGAAAAAGAAAATACTATAAAAAAATAATTCAAAAAGTAAAAATTTTGAATTGTTTTTATTTCATTCTCATCAAATGAAAAATTTTTGCTTTATTTATTCGTTTATTTAAAAGCATATAATATCTTTAATTAAATTTTAATTATTTATTGTATTCATAAATTAGTTTGATTATAATTTAATTAATTAAAAGACTGTTTTTTTGATCGCAACTAGGGTAAATGCACTAGTAGTCGGACACTTAAGGATACAATCTTAAATTATGCTTTTTTTCTTGAAATAGCAAATATCTACTGTGTTTATAAGCACATTATCAATTAAATGAGTTCTTCAGGATTAAAAATCATATAAATTTGTTACAAATAGTTGAGTATTTAATAAAATATAAACATTTTAATAAAAAATTACGAATGCTTTAGTAGTCGGACACTTTTTCCCCTTGTTTCTATAGTCGGACATCTGTCAGATATTTTGGATTTATAAAGTAAAACAGATAATTTTTTAATTGCTATCTGCTGGAAAATCGAATTAAAGCATATTAGAAGTTATTAATATAATATTTAAACCCTATAAGTTTTAATATTTATGATTAATTATCAACAAAACTTTGTGCCACTCATCGCGCTACTCGAAAATGGTTGTATCTATAGTCGGACACCATGATTTTTAAAACATTAAATAAAATATTTCTTGTTTAATTATTTTCGAAAATAACACTATTTTAATAAAATATAAACTTCACACATTCGTCTAGTATACTTTTTAAAGCAATTATCACAATGCATTATTATGTATTTGTCAAAAAACACGAAAGTGTTCGACTACTAGTACTGTCCGACTATACCCGCACTTACCCTATATGAAAATCCAATCTATTAATTTCAATTTCAGGTTATCCAGAGCAAGAAATTGCATTGAGGATACCTTCGGTCTTTGGGTAGCCAAATGGCAAATTTTGAACAAAAGTTTGAACATGAAATTGAGTAACTCCATTGCTGTCGTAAAAGCACTTGTTTGCCTACACAATTTCCTCATAAGTGAGGAGTTACTTACAAATGAGGAAGACAGATTGTATGTTGAAGAGAATCGAAATAGAGGTAGAAATGTCAATGAAAATAAAAACAACCAGGAAGGAGAAGTCGAACCTGCCCCTTTTCATGTTTTGCAGCAAAAAGAAGTTCTAGCTGACTACTTTATGTCAGATGAAGGAGCTTTAGAATAAAAAGCAAATTTTACTTTTAAAAGTAAATTACTGGCTCCCTGTTAAGTTTAAATGTTTTCGCTCTTCAAATTTTGGATTTAAAAGTCAGTTACTGTCTCCCTGTGAAGTTTGGATTTCTTTGCTCTTTAATTTTTACTTTTAAAAGTCAATTTAGAAATTATTTTTTCCACTTTTTTAAACATTACTTTCCAAAATTGCGACTTTTTCTACTTTTATTTTCAAGCATTGTAAGAAAATACCACATTTTTAAAATAAATTGCAACTTATTTTAATTTTTTTATAGAGTGAATAACAACTTTTTTCAATTTTTTTCAGACTATTTTCAAAGAATGAGACTATTTTCAATTTATTTTTAAAAATTGGTACTTTTTCGACTTTTTTCAAATATTCCAACAAAATACTACTCCATTAACCTCAAAATTCACATGCTTAGATTTTAATTTTATTTTATGCTAATTTATTTCAGTAGTTCTTATTAGAAAATAAAATTAGAAAATAAGAAATTAGAAAGAATTAGAAAAGAAATTAGGAAAGAAATTAGAAAATTTCTTATACAAGATACGCCTCTTTTAAATATACTATGAAGGTGAGTAAGTTGTCAAGAGGCAATAAACTAAGAAAGGGATAACATTTGGAAAATACTACAGTAATTCGTAACTTTATTTGTAAAGTTATTGTTTTAAAAATTGTACTTTTAATTTATGTTTTTTATAGAGGTTAATGTTAATCATTTCATGTAACCAATTTTCAATTAATTTATCAATATCATACAAAATATAATTATGCATTTTTTCACGGGTACAAACAAAAAGGGGTAAAAAACAAGAGTGATTTCTGTGTGAAAAGCTCTATCGATATAAAGATTTATTAATTCATGATGTTAGTAATGTTTTAAATAAATTATTTGTACAAATAATAAAAACTGTAATATTCAAATGGCGGAAAAAAGAAGAATTATCAGTGTCAAAAAAATTTAATTTGATTTAACACACATTTTTAATTAAAAACAATAAAGCTAAAGAGCAAAATAAATTGTATTTATTATATATAGGTAATTTTAATAATTGCACAGGCACACAAAAAAATAAAAAAGTCAAAACCCAGAGGTCACACCCCCCTATCCCCATGTTTTTGGGGTCGCTGAAACCGAATATGACCATGACAAATTTTTTTCATCGGCCATTTTCCCGCTACCACCCCCTTACACCTGCTCCCGGGGGTTGATATTTCAGTTTAAAAAAAAGTGGAGTAGGGTGTCTATTCCTATGTTTTTTGGGTCGCTAAAACCAAAAAAGACTACCAAAAACAAATTCTTCCCTCCCTTAACCCCCTACAACCCCCTTAACATCCGAAAGGTGGGGGGTCGAAATTAGAATTTTCATGAAAAGTCGATTACGGTGTCTAAACCTACGTTTTTTGGGTCGCTGAAACCAAAAAAAATACCAAAATCAAGTCCTTTCCACCCTTGACCCCCTACAACCCCCTGCAATAATTTTTGATAATTAATATTTAATTTTCAATTTCCCAAAAATCGGTTCGTTTTATTTGAAAAAAATTATTGCAGGGGGTTGTAGGGGGTCGGGGGAGGAAAGGATTTGATTTTGGTAGTCTTTTTTGGTTTTAGCGACCCAAAAAACATAGGAATAGACACCCTACTCCACTTTTTTTTAAACTGAAATTCCAACCCCCGGGAGCAGGTGTAAGGGGGTGGTAGCGGGAAAATGGCCGATGAAAAAAATTTTTCATGGTCATATTCGGTTTC